ATCTGATGTTGTGTTCATGAACAAGCCAACAAGATCAAACTGATCAAATTCAAAACTGACACTTGTTTACACAGAACCACAGAGAGAACATCTCCCTCCTGCCTGAACTCCCTCTGCTCACTAACTGGACCAACCAGAACCTCCTGGTCCGACCACCACAACAGGTCCAGGTCGGTAGCTGGACTCTCCTCCTCTGTGGTGGAACGAGCTACCAAACTGTTCTACCTGCTGACTCCCTCTCAGTCTGTAAGAACAGACTGAAGAGCAGCTCTTCACTGAACCTCTGCACCTGACAAACAAACAAACAAACAAACAAACAAACAAACAAACAAACAAACAAACAAACAAACAAACAAACAAACAAACAAACAAACAAACAAACAACAACAAACATCCCGTCACCTCCCTACCGCCTGCTGTCGGCATCAGCGCCCTGTCACACCTGAACTTGTTCTGTGGCTCTGGTCTAGATGGTTTTCTCCTGACCAGACCCTTGCTGGTGTTGCATCTGCTCTCAGATGAACGGATAAAACATCTGCTGGATGAAACTGTAGAATTGTAGACTGATGATATCCAGGAATGTTTAGGATGAACTTTGCCATCACTGATCACCGTTCCTGACATCTGAGAGCATTACAGCACAAAACCACAGAAGGAACCTTTCTACACTTTCATTTTGTTCTCCAAAAGCAAACTCCTCAAATGAAGTGTCGACATCATCTGGAGGACTTCCTGTCATGTTGAGGTGTGACAGCTTCAGACGACGTGCATCACACGACTCAGGTCTAATTTCAGGCAAACTCTGTGACATCCTGATGTCTGTGTTCATACTTTAATGAGAAGGTGGCTTCAAGCACGAGACGGCACCATTTCTATGTCCATGTCCACTTTAGTTGTGTGTCTTTGTGTGTTCTGTTGTCTGTCGCCCACCGGCCTCTTAGCGTTTCTGTCCCCGTCCAGATGCAGTCATGTCAGTGGGTGACTTTAGCATCCATGTCGATGTTGTGAGCGACAGCCTCGACTCTGCATTTAGTTCTTGCTTGGACTCGTCATTCTTGGTTTTCCTCTAAATGTAAACATACCAACCCCGGCTGCTGGGGTTTCCCATGATGCACCTCCCCTCTGCCCCCCCTCCGTGTAGTTAAACAGCACCAGTGCATGTCAGCAGCTTTGGGTTTGTCCTCTGTGCAGGTTTCTCTGGTTCTGGAGCTCCATGTTTCTGATCTGCTGTCACCGGCTTCACCCACCTGTTCTCTCCCTCCTCTGTCCCGTCACACCAAATGGCCTCCACACTTCACCACGTTGGATCTGATCCAACTGCTAACAGAGAGAGTCTTCAATAAAAAGCCAAAAACACCAGAACTGTATCTGTTGGTTCAGAGCTCTGACATTATGGTCCTTGGATTTCAGGTTGTAAAGAACATTATTTTATGGTAGACTCTGGTGTTCGTCTAAAAACTGTGTTTTCAAACCACTGGTTTCTCAGAAGCTGCTGTGACTCCATCTTAAAACTGTGCAGCATTTGAACACATGACTGCTTGTTTGATTACTTGGATAAATACATGAGATCGTACTTTCACTGAAAACCCAGATGCTGCTTACTTCAGTATTAACACGGTTGTTTTTTTTCCCAGTGCTTGTTCTTTTATTTAAAAAAGCAACAACAACACACTGGCTCATGAAATAAGAAAATGAAAATAGTAGAGCTGCTTAAATCCCAGATAGAAAACATGAAGTATAATTAAAAGACATCCGAATAAGAGACATATGACCCACGACTACATGTCACCTCCTGAATGCTGCTTTTACTGAAGTCCAGATGTTGAACAGCTGCAGCAGCTTCTGACGTCTGTGCTGAGCTGAACTGGACCCATTTTAAATGTGTGTAAATACATGTTTGCTCCGTGATGGTTCTGAGCAGGGTAAGAATTTATAAAAGTGGCTCCAACAAGTCTGCAAAGTTATTATTTATTGTTGAACAAAGTCTTTCACAACCGAAAATATTCCTGAGACGTTGTTTCCAGTCAGTTTTTGTCCTAAATTAAAGATGCTTTTGTGATATTTTGATGGTTGGTTTGATAAAATGATTTTGGTCCTTCCACCAGTTGAATATTGTGTTTAATTTAAACTCTAATTTCTGCTCTAACTGACTGACAACTAAATTCAAGTTGAGATATTTTCATGAAATCAGCTTGATAGCGACGCTGTAGTGGCACAACTACAGCATTACAGACATCGTCGGTGTCGTAATAAAACCACACATTTAGTCAGCTAACTGCATGTTCTGGAGTTTTTCTGACTAGCAGTGATGTTTGAATTGTATTTGGGTTTAAGCTAGCTGTGAGCTAACACTGTCATCAGACTTTCAGAGAACATAAAGACGAGCAGCTTTAGGTTTTTCAAAAGTTCAAGATGGCGGCTGTTTAGCGGCAACAAGAACCTTCAAACCAAACTGTTCTCTTTTTACGAGGCTTTTGGAGGTGGACGTTTTGTACCAGTGTGAGGAAACCATCAGCCAGCTTCCTTTGAGTTTTTCTTCCAGCTGGACTTTGGGACGGTGTGGATATCTCCAGGCAGCACTTTGTGGTTTGCTCAGCAACGAGAGGTTCTGCAGAGACCTGCTGCTTCTACCAGTGGTTCTCCTCCAAAGGCTCCTTCTTCTCATCAGCGCTCTGCTCTGGTGTGTTGTGATTGGCTGTATTTGGAGCTATCATGTATTCTGAATCTGTATTTCTCCACTGAACCTATGACCCTGTTCTTTCTACTGAAGACAACATGACCGGTTAGAACTGGTTTACAGACCAGGAGACAGCGAGAACTTCTCTGTTCTGTCAGTAGGACTGTTGCTTTAGAAGCTCACCAACAACAACGTGGACGAGGCGTGGACGGAGCGTGGACGAGGCGTGGAGGGAGCGTTGGGGGGGGGTTGACGGGGCGTGGAGGGAGCGTGGAGGGAGCGTGGAGGGAGCGTGGACGGAGCGTGGACGAGGTGGGCCTGTCCACGTCACTGGTAACTGGCCAGTTCTACTCGGTTGTGTACGAGTCCAACCTCTGTTTGGGCCAGGCCCAGCCAGGAAGGTGAATATAGATGTTTGCCTTATTTAAAAACAAAGTAAACTTTACAATGTGCAGCGTAGTTTGAAGTCTGAAGGTACTACAGATAAAAATAATAATAATTGGGCAGCAGACCGCCAAATGAGTCTGTCAGTGACTGGAGTGGTTCAGCTCCGACTTCTCTGTGTGACCGATGCGACGAAATCATCCAAGAATGTAAAAGGAACGGGGTCAACCTGGATTTAACTCACTTGGCTTGTAGTTTTGGTTTGGCTCAAACAAAGCCTCCCAAGTCCAGCCGCTCGTCCCTGCATCGTCTCCGTCCTCGTCCTCACATCTGTTCACCCACAGCTGTGAAATATTTCCACTCCACAGGTAGAGGAGCCGTCTGGCTGTGGGTGCTGCAAAAAGAGGTGAAACATCTCCCTTGAATGCTGTCATGACTACTTTGGATGACAGGAGGTCTTCTTCCTCTTCTTCTGGCCCGTTGCGTTCCATCTGCGGCTGCTGTCACTTCAGACGGACACCAAGAATTCCTGCTTTCTATTTTGAGGTTAGTTCATATGAAGGTCTGGAAAGTACAAATAGATAAAACCAAATCACCCATGAAATTGTAATCAAGTTTAACATTTTCTGAGCACTTCAAGAGCTTCTCGTCACTGTCGGTTCAGTTTGGTGAAGCCTGGAAGCCACACAAAGCTGAGAGGGAATAAAATAAAATAATAAAAAATAAACAGCCAGCAGCCACTCGTCTGGTTGTATTTACCTTTCAAATTTATTTTTCAAATCTTAAGTATCTTATTTTTAGTGTGTTGGCATAATTATACATTGGTTGGGTGCATACAGTAAGTCAGGACTGACAGGAGGAGTGCATCTGTACATGAACAGACAAACAGGACTGGGTTTGAATAAAGCTTATACACAGAGAGGCAAACCTTCAGCACCACAGACCACCAGTCAGAGGTATTCTCTCCCCACAGTCGTATTGCTATCCAACAAAGGCACATGAACGAGTTTGCGTTAACAAACGACACTAAAAGCTTTTTCTCCCGGTTCACGTCGTCAAACCTCACTTGGCTTGAAACTCTCATTTCATAACACGGAACACAAACTGTACAAATACATCTCCCTCCTGCAAAACAAACTCAGTAATATCATATTAATCATACAACACAGAATCACTAGAAAATCAACAGGGTCTTTGGCTAATAAGTGCAGCAGCACAGTCCTGCATCGGCATATTGCCCCCGCCTCGCCACCCAGAGCCATTCGTCACTGAGTGACGGCGGGGAAACAAGGAAGAAAGACGAAAACAAACTTGGAAATATTTTGGAGCTCCTCTAAAAAGCTTTTGGTGACAAAACTTTTTCTCCGTCAGTCTTTGGTCTCAACCGCGGGCTTTAAAAAAGAGTTGGGGTCAGCGGTGAGAGTTGGGGTTTATTGTTGGACTGGTCTGTCGGAGGCCCGACGCCTTCACTAGAAATTATACATAAAAGATGGACGTAGCAGCTGAGTCGTAAATTCACTACAAGCTCATTAGGATCATGCTTACTGACAGAATAAACGAAGGGGGATTTTGTCATTAACTTCTGTACAACTGAACTTCTTTTTTACAACTAGGAGTCGCCCCCTGCTGGCTGTCACAAAGAATGCAAGTATAAAGCACTTCTGGATTGGCTTCACTTTCCAGACCCGCAGGCTATGTCCATCTTTTATATACAGATCTACCAACATCTTTTAGTGTCATGTGACATTTCAGACGCGATTCGAGAAAGTTTTCTCCTATGAAAAGCCTTCGTATTGGAGTTAAATGAGAAAAGGTGGTAATTCAGTTCTAGGCTTCAGTTAGCTTGGCTTCACGTAAAAGGAAAACGTTCTGGAACGTGAAAAACATCTGACTGCCAGCATGTCCAAAGCTCCCTGGTTAAATCTCAGGTGTCTACCATATTTTAAAATCACAATGCATGGGTTTTGTATTTTTTAAATATCTTTGGTCACAGCCAACTTGCTTATTCAGCAAAGCTAAGCTAACTGGGTGGTAGCTTCATATTTAGCATACAGCCATGAAAGCAGCACTAATCTTCTTATCGAGCTCTTGGCCTTCCCTACAACGTCAAACCAGTTCCTCACAAACAAACGTCTACACAACAGAGCTGTTCGTAGCTTCAGTCTGAACCCACTGCTTCTGGCCTTCTCTGACATTTCAGCTAAGTCCAATTTTGAAGAACACTCGCTAACGTATCAAACGTATTTTTAAAGTTGGACTTTCAGTCTCACGTGATGCATTTAGTCTCGTACGGGTGTACAGTGGCAAAAACCTAAGAGATATTTTAAGGGGGAAAAAATGCTGTGATGGTTTTGGCTAAATTAATTCATGTTGGTCTCACGTTAGCCACGCAGTCATTAGACCAGTTTAGCTGCAGCTGAACAGAAGCTACTGAAGCTGTATTACACCCCCAGTAGACCTGCTCAGCTACACACACCAGGGACGTATAGTCGTTGCTATTATTTTACTTTGCTAACCCACTGGAGTTTGCTTCGAGGATTTTGTTCCGAACATGCACAGTCGGTCGTATGTACGTATTCTGAACATGTGCACGATCGCCCTTACAGCGTAGCTGCTGTGCAGACACAGGTTTTGGGATGCACATGGAGGGGTGTGCATGGGCTTGGGGAGATGACAACATGTATGTCACGCCAACCTTCACGTTCCTGCAGACATAGAAAGCATAACACTGGACTATACAACGGTGTAGACGGGAACATGGACAGCTGCAGCACCTACAGACAGAGCAGTCATTAGACTATTTCTGTAGGTCACGGTATTCCACTTCATGCACAGCAGCTTGTGTCTACGTGTTCCGATCATACACACTATTACACACAGCCACTGTTCCTGTAGCTGCTGGACTGACATGTATGCGGAGGGGTCAGTACAAATTTAGATAGATGACGAAGTTAACTCCACGCCATCCTACACTCACTCACTGATGCAGAAAGTACAACACCGGCGTCAGGCAGATGATAAGATTAAGTCTAGAGAAGCAAAGCAAAGAAGATGAGCACGGAGAGAGAGTCTGGGGCAGTGTGCTGCTGGTCCAGCATTCAGTCAGAGGACCACGGGGTTCTATCTACACTTAACTCGACTCGTTCTTGAGTGTCATGGTTTCATACATCAATCAAGACCTCTCCAACTGTTATGAATGAATTAGTCAAGGAGAAAGGCACGAGCGCCGTGCATCAAGGCAAATGACTGCTGCATCCTCTCTTCTCTCCCTTCACCTTTCTGTTGCCTCCACCTCACCCACGTCTCACATACTTAGCTCCTTTTTTGCAGCATTTGCTGTATAGGTTGTAGTGATTTCCTCACAATCAGCGTCCTTTCTATTCAAGCTCTGTACACATTAAGATTTTTGAAATATATTCAGTAGTACATCCAACTATCTATTCAGATATAGTGAGAAGCAATCTGACACTACCAGCGTCTTCCCTGTATGATTACAAAGTTGTTCTTCCTCATGCTTGAACCTTTCAACAGCTGTCCTACATACTGTCAGCCTTGATCAACACCTCCACGCTTCCACACCATCTGCCTCAGTTAGAAAGTCGTCTCAGGAAACAATCAAGTCTGTGAGTCAAGCAGAAAAAGTAAACAGGAAAAAAGAGGCAACAGCTAACTCTGACTTCCATCAACAACAGTCCCCTTCTTCTCTCTTATTCCAACTCTTCCCTCATTGTTTTCTTGGTCATGTTCCTAAATAAAGCACGATAAACAAGCATGGTGCAGGAAAAATGCACCAAAATATTTGTTATTTCTTGGCCTCATATATAAAATCTGAATATTCAAACAGCAACAGTATTAATCCCAAAAATATTATATATAAACATAAATATATCAATTAGTCTCGCTGGATTTTTTATTTGTTTTTGTTTGTTTTCATTGGAAGCACATGCCACTGGTGTAGTGGCAGCTGGCGTCTGATTGGCTTAGGCAGAGCGGGGTCTGCGGTCGTGTGATTGGAGGATGGGAGAGGTCAGGAGTTCCTGGTGTGTGTGGCCACAGTGTCCATCATCTGGAGTTCAGTCTGGGAGCCGTCTGGAAGAAAGTCAGAGGAGGAAAACATGAGACCGGAGGTCACCGGGGAGCGCCGCCCCCTCACAGCTGACATACTGAGTCCACTCACCACAGACAGGTGTCCGTTCTTAGCCTTGGCCACCAGTAGTTCTGATCCGGGCGTGAAGTCTATGACGCCCTCTTTCCCTTGACCCACTGTGAACTTTATGCTGCAGGGCAGCAGAGGGACAGTTAGACTGGGTTTCATGTACTTGTGTCCTAAAGCAGTGAGAGGAATCCTGAGCAGCTGGAGCCTCTCTATACCAGACACATGTGCTCTTCACACTCCACAGCCAATCAGACCAAGTGCATTAAAGACTATCACTGCAGACTTTCACAGCTTTAGGGTACAATGTGAAGATATACTTTTGCTGTGAATCTGTTGGCATAAAGTAAAGCTTTACTGAAAGTGCCACGCTTGCACGGCGGTCCTCTGTCTCTGCCTCTCACCTGCCCTGGTTGATGTTGATGCTGTTGATTTTGTCGGCACAGATGGCGATCTTGGTCAAGGTCTCGATCACATGGTCGCTCTGCAGAACCACGTCTCCCTGGAAGGACACATCACAGTGAAAGTCACGCTCACACTAAACCACGTGTGATCTTGCAGCTGCAAATTTGTTCCGTGATCTTCACCTTCTGTTTGTTGTCGTCACTGGGCACATGCAGGACAAACAAGCCGTCGCTGAGCGAGCTGACTGAGATGCCTGCAGGGGAACATACAGTTCAAGTGACACGAGTGTGGCAGCGATGGCAGAGCGCTTCTAATACATACGTTATGTAAGATACCATGCTAAGAATTTACGTGGAATAAAACAGTGGATTGTTCAGACTTGAGCTCCAGGATTTCTGGTGATTGTTTTGGTGTAATGACAACCGCTGACCTCAGAGTGAGTAAATAACCAATCACAGCTCTAACACTGTCTGAACTGTATCTGCTGACATCTGACCTTTCAGGGCTCCATAATCGATGCGCTGCTTCAGTTTGCCCTCCTCCACGATAATGGCACTGTTAGCGGTGAGCAGCAGCTGGCGGAGCCGAGGCTTGTAGCCTTTCCTGTCGTACTTGGTGACCGGCACTGCATACTGTGAACAGAGGGGATGAAGGTCACCGAGCCGCTCACGCTGAGCTCAGCGATGACACTTCAAATGTATTTTGCTTAGAGATTTGCTAACCTTCATCTTCTCGCTGCCCAGAGCCTGCAGCACCTTGGGGTTGATGTCCTCACCATCTGAGCAGGAGCAAACAAACATGCAGAATCATTTGAACGTGTGGAACATGACGCATGTGGCTGATTTGCTGTTCCAGCAAAAATGTCGTCTTACTGAGCCGTGTGCTGACGAACAGTTTGGGAACGCTCTGTGGGTAGTTGTCCTTCTTGTCCTTGAAGAGCTCACTGGCGATCATCTTCTGCTCCATCTGTCCACACAGGTTTGATGACAGTGAAATGTAGAAACAACAAAACTGAACGTGTCTTTCCTGGTGATGGGACCATTCTCACCTGATGCTTCCACTCAGGACTGATCTTCTTGCAGTAGCTCCACACCATGTTCTGCATACACAGCTTACGCAAATGCTCTGATGCCTAAAGACACACACAGTTTGTTGGACAATATGTCTGCTGGCTGAACATCTTTCATTTTCAGTGGTTCTATGTTTGCTCCAAGCTGGATGTGTGAGTAGTTCTACCATTCAGTTTTTGTTTTTATGAGTTTAAGCGTGAATAAAACGACACGACAGAATGACAGAAAATACTACACCTGTGAGTTTCAGTGTTCTGATGCAGCAAACATTTAAAAACAAAACATCAGGTCTGATGTGTAACTTAAGCTTGACCAGCGTTGGTCAAATCTAAATCCCACCTCTGTGAGAGCAGCTGGAGGTGTCGGCCAGCTCTTGTCCAGAACGTTCTTGGGCAGGTTTCTGCGCAAGTTCATGAGGAAGGAGTAGCGAACGTAATCCAGGAAATACTCGTTCTCTGGACAGCGCTCCTTGTGGCGGTAGATGAAGCCTTTGATAAACCTGACGGTGACACAAGTGCAGGAATAAAACAAGAGTTTGAAAAGGTTCATGCACAACACAAAGCTGATCGTCTCCTAAACATAACACGTCTGAAAAACTACATGAAAGGTGGGATCTACTGGATCAACGTGAGACATGAAGCTGACACCCAGACTTCTGTCCTCTACATTTTACTGGCTCATGTCTGGTTGTGTCATTGAGCAGTGAAGTGCGCCATCTGCTGGTCACCTCCTGCATGGTTTGTACCTGCGTATGGTGTTGGCGGCCTGCCGTCTGCGCTGGGCCCTCCTCCTGGCCAGGATCCCCCTCCACCACGCCTGGACCGCAATAGCTGCAAGGGACAGCAAACACTCAGCAGACACATCCAAACCAACAGTTCTGCAGTTTGCTGAAAACACGAGTCACATGTTAGACTCAAGTCAGCAACAGCTTCCTCACCTGAAGTTCTGAGTTTCTGGTATTTGGACTTCTGGCTGTAGCCTTTCCATCCTGCCTGCAGCTTGGTGGCTGTGTGGTGATAAAGAGGCAACGGTTCAAACCTGCAGCACAACAGCTGCTGAACATACAAGGAACAAACAACCTGTCGCGTCTTGACTCCTACCGAGACTGTGCTTCCTGGTCTCCAGTGCATCCTCGGTGGCAAACAAGGTCTTTGGGAAGCGGATGAAGATTTTGGATCTGCATGATTAAAAAGCAAAACATATTCAATCAATAAGTTTTATGCAACAGTTGTGGGCATGTCAGTGATGAAAAAGCAAAAACATCACAAATGACAACAAACAGAAGGAAAAAAAGGAAATAACAAGAATCACCTCTTAAAATTAACTAAAGGATCAAAAACATCTGACTCATGAAAATGTATTTTTTCTATCTTCATCTGACTCATCCGTGTCCTGCTGACCTGCCCAGTTTGTACTCCTCAGGCTTGTATCCCAGATGTTTGACCAGCGTGGACACTCCATCGGCCAGCTTGCCCTGCCAGTTGGGCCACGTGTCTGGACACAAGGACTTGTACCTAAACAGACATGAAGACAAACACAAAGGCAATAAACACAAGTAAACACTAAAAAGAAAAACCCTAAGGTCGAACTCAAAGGGAAAGTCTCCATCGCTGCTCCAGCTGAGCCAGAAACAGGTTCTGTAGCAGAAGGATGAGCCAGTGGACAGAGTTCTGGGAGCAGAACATCTGAGAGTCAAACCACTGATCAGCAGATAAAACATTTCCATGTTTAACTGATTAAGTCTTTTTTTCTCTCAAAGCAATGAGCGCTTGTTCCAGCCTGTGATGAGCGTAAATTCAGTGCTTGAGTGGAACATCTTTAGAATTTGGACTCAGACAAAAGAAGGGATTCTATGAAGTCTTCTGGGCTTTAAGAAACTGTGAGGGACCTTTTCACTGTTTCTCGACACTTGATTAAGATCTTCTTCCTGGTGGGGGGTTGGTGTCTTGGTGAGGACATCTTCAATCATATTGTGGTCAAAGGAATATTTCAACAAAAGAAATGTGAACATGTGTATATATATATATATATATATATATAGTGTCCAATCACCTCTGTAGGAAGATCTCATAGCGCCGTCTGTAAGCAAAGCCGGCCCTCCTCACCCTCAGATTCTCCATCAGTCCCAGATACTTGACCTGGTGACGGATCAACACTTCGTCAAATCGACCTGCGACAGGGAGCAGAGGGAGAGCGGGTCAATGCTCGAGCCTGCTGGGCAAGATGAACCAGAGAAAACCAGTAAATGCAAAGCAGCAGGAGTAGGAGTGACAGAGGACAGAGAAACAGTGTGAAACCAACAAAAGGCCGACTGTGGAGAGAAACAAAGGCCGGCCCGATATACTGACGGCCGCACGGAGAGCTGCACTGATGCAGCACAAAACAAACTGTTTGGGCTGGAATTAGAGAAAGCTCACGACTAGCTGATGTTTGTGGAAAAAAATATTGCATTCGCTTGATGAGCTGCGAAGCTGCTTGTGCTGCGTTTACAGGAGCTGCTGCATAAATGTGGCAAGAATCCTTTAAACACGGCTCACATACCGAAGCAAACAACCAGAAGAACTTAAATCAACTGTCAGTTACAATCTACACAATAATTCAAAGTTTAAACTCCCTGAAATATGCAGCAGTGACACTGAAGCAACAGGTACAGAGACTCAGACACCGGAAACAACTTTCTGAATTTAAACCACATAAACTCCACAAAGTAAACCGTCCACCATTACATATCTAGAGGTGGTTTCAGGGTCATTTTACATTATTTACGTCATTATGAGGAGCAGCTATATCTGCTGTATCTGCTCTTTTTCAGGCTTTCCAGATCCTTCATCATGTCACATTACAACACTTCCACGGTTTGCATGATGGGAAACACCATAAATCACATGAACCGTTATGTGTTTACATGTATTTCAACATTAAATGCTGGCAGCAGGGAGATCTGTTCACAGCTGTATGAGAGGTTGTCAGGATTCAGAGCTCATCAGAACCGTGATGGTGGGACACTGTATGGCTTAGAAATAAAAAAAAAGGGTGATTAGTGTCTGACAGAAATAAATATCACTCCTGTATGAACTGGGGTGTTCACATACAGCAGAGGAGGTCAATCAGGCCAACGAACAAGTCGTCTTTTACCTCAACCTTTGAATCAATCACTGCAGAGCCGTGATTTGTGTTTGTTTTACATACAAACTGTAAAGCACAGAGAAACAACTGGTACCATCAGATCTGTGGCTGATGTGCTGTCGGCCTGAAGACGGAGAAGCAGGAGTGTGAAATGGTTCAATTAGTAAAGATATTACTTTGCAGAAGTTTGATCTGTCTGAACAACGTTATTACTTCAGTACGTATCAATGAGTACATTTGATGTAAAGTCAAAGTTAATGTTTTGTTGCACAGTCACGAAGCAGCACTGATGGAAAAGCCGTGTGGTTTTATTTCACCCCGGCTACACCCAGCTGCACTACACGCTGTAACTGACATGAAGGGTGGATTTGTGGATTTGGACATAAATTGGTTAAATATCTCACTTGGGTATTAGAACGACGTAGCAGCGCTGCAGTTTCTCCACTTATCACCTCCTTTCTGCAAATGTCCACTGACTTTTACAGAATTGTGCATTTTTTATTTTTGGAAAAGTCACAGAAAGTTACAGAGTTCTGATAAACTCCTCAAAAGGAATTTCTCGTATCCACAAGAACACTGAGGGGAAGTTTTAGAAGTCCAGGATGTTCAAAAAGTAGGAAGTCATGAAGTATTAAAATACGTTTTGGTAGCAGTGTAGCTCCACACAGGAGTCACAGCAGCTGAATGGTGTCGAGACGAGAGGCTTTCAGGTCCTGAATGGAGCTGTTTTAGATTTGAATTTCTCATCTGACAATAAAAAGCATTGATCCCAAAACCCCCGCTGCCTTGTACAGCATCAACCAACAAATCAAGACGTAGCTTCGTACCTGCTTGCTTGGAGTCATTGGGCTTGATGCAGCGGACGTACGACGGCTCCTTAGACATGAGGATCTCCATGAGTTTCGCCAGACTGGCTTTGAACTGGGTGGCCGCCTGGAGGGGCAGACACCAACAGACAGGAACAAAAAGAGATGGAAGCTGGTTAGGAAGGGATGAAGGCAAGAGGAGGCTACAGGATGCTGGTCGCTAAGTGGGAACCGAGGAGATGAGCAGCGTATGGATGCAAACTGAAGCCTGCAGACAGAGATGATGACCTAAGAAGAGCTACGTAAGCAGAGGGGCGGCTGATGTGACAGGCAGTCCAGCACAGCCTGAACACTGGGCCCAGTGTGGAGGACTGGGACGGGGACTTGCCAGCCTGTCACAGTACCCTGTGTGAGAGTGTTTGCAGGGCATACAAGTGTCAGGGCATTCCTCAGTGAGTGGGCAGCCGCAGAGAATCCCCATCAGACCGCCCACTCACCACGGGAGAGGGAAACACACCACTGTTTGTTTTGCTGTGGGAAAGTATGCTGGGATGCATGAGAGCGAGGTTCAGTGTGTGTGAGCAAAACCAGCAGAGAACACAGCTCACCGTGTCAGGACGCTTCTTGTCGCTCAGCTCCTCTCTGTCAAAGCACTGCGTCAGGATCTTGTTCTCAGACATGACCATCACCT